CTGCCGACCTTTTACAGAAAATGGAAACTAAAAGTACACTGACATTTAACATCAGTAAGAAGCAGTTTAATTTTCTGTAGAACATAATGAGGAAAGTGGGCTTGGAAAATCTGATACTCAGGGGAGAGATTCAAAGCAAGATGGACGAAGGGAAACAAAACAACATTTTTAGTAAGCTTGAGTAAATCGATGGCGGAACATGTTTTAGGAGAAATAACAAATAGACAAAATTTACACATGGAACAGGAAATTGTGACGAGCCATGATCGCCAACATCTTGAGAGAACACGACGCATACAGAAAAAGAATTGTAAGTAAGATTACACAATATATCTATCAACATTCACCTTTTCTGTACTATGTTCCTTCGGCACGTGGGCGAACATGGCACTCCACAACTTCTTATTATTTATTACTCTCAGTACGTTTTGTCTTTTAACTATCCCTCCCTCTCCTGTTCTGCCATCTATTTACACAATCTTGTTGGTTACATTGCTCGCCTTTCCCCTCTGTCCCTTTCACAACCATTACGCCTTGTAAGTGTCAAATTATCCAATCATTCTTTCCTTATTATATGTTGTGAGGGAGAATATTTACCTACAAGTTTGGGCTCGGCCGTAGGACGAAAAACATAAAAATGGACCTACATGAGGAGGAGTGAGTAGTGGGAGGAGCAATAGCAGCAGCAGCTTTTTGCTGTAAACAGTAAGTCATTCATTCAGGGTTAAACATTGTTTTCCCTAGTTTCTGTTCTACATTATGTTTCCTTGTACCAAAAGGTAATAAACATGTTGCTAAACCAATTCTGGTTTTCTAATGTTGTTTTTGATAATTCAGTTACATTATATATCCTAGAAATGCCAACGAAGTTTTCTGATTCAACGTATAAGAATCCTTTCGTTTCGATCTTCCTTAAATGTTCATCATTATTTTCATGTTCATTTCACAGGATGGGAGAAGGTGTAGATTCATACTTTTTTACAGAAGTATTTGCGCGTAAGTGAATATAAGGAACACAACTTTAATTGGAACTCTGCTAGCCGATTAACAACTACGGGCCATTATCCATTCCACTACCCGCACATGCATGCTTACAGCAACTGTTATTCTCAAACGGTGACCCATCTAGGCAGTAGCCAGGTCCGATGTTGCTTTACTTCGGTGATGCTCCGTGAACCGGTGTTTCAACGGGATATGGTTGTGAGCGCTTTAATCCAAGCACACAACAAAACTTACAGCAAGTGGTCACCCATCTAGGTACTGAACTAGATCAAGGTTGCTTTACTTCGGTGATCATACAGGGACCGGTGTTTCACGTGATGTAGCTGTAAGCTATTTACCCCATTCAGAAATTCATGATTATAAAGAGGTCTCCCATCTATGTATTGACAAGGTTTAATGTTGCTTTACTTCAGTGATACTTTCAACGTGACTTGGCCGTATGCCCCCACCATCATATAAGGAGAATGATATGGCCTAACCATTCGCCACTTTTGTGTACCTAACAAAAAATTCCTGCATCTTAATACTCTGTTTATCTTTTAGAATATTCGCTATTCCAGTTCGCTGTCAAATTCTCCTCCATCTTTTAAAACACTTCCCCAGTGTATTTAGACTTGAACCAGAATTGAATATATTTGTAACGAAAATAAAACAACATAATATTACTACACTTGTGAAACTGTTGAACATCTGATGATGAAAATTTAAACTCCGAATATGAAGCCAATCCAGATGATATTCTTGTATAGCGCCATTGTTTTGGGGACATCTTGGGCGACGGTAATCACTCGATAATAATAGATTTGCATTTCCTCTCTCGGCTGGTGATCGCTATTTGTAATGACTCCAGAGATAAATGAACTTCAACACAGGAAATTTTAAGTTAGCTATTTGATTAACCTCGACGTATATATCTCTATCGATCCAGTGGGGTCGCTCTCCCTCCACAGGGAAGAATACGAAAGAAACCACGTCTACATTGTTTGACGGTTAAGACTTGACACTCTGAAAATCCTTTCGCAATCTCTATCGTTTTCCCATTAACTCAGACAATTAAAATCGACTTCCTTGTTTTGTCTTCTCTCTGACACCTAAGGTCGAACTCAGGAACTCCGAGCAGAGATGCACTTCTCTAAAAATAATAATCTGTTTTTCCTCTCCCCATAGTTCAGTTTGGAAGATATAGTGGTTCTGAGACAAAATGATTGTAACCTGTTCTCTACTTAGCTAAATGAAAAAAAGGGTTTTTCAGTGATTCTTATGAAAATGATATCAAAATGGTTAAACGTCTTATTTGAAAATCTGTAAAAAAACCTCAATTAGTTTAGTGATTTTTAAAACATTGTGTGGGGTGGACAATTATTCTGTTACACGATTTGAACAATTTTTTTCCTGTTCTCTCTCTCTCTCTCTCTCTCTCTCTCTCTCTCTCTATATATATATATATATATATATATATATATATATATATATATATACACAGACATGACAGGAATGAATAGACACCAAGATAAATTTCTGATTTTTTTTAAAGGTAAATTAACTTAATTTTTTTTAATAGCCAAGATAAATTAACTTAGAATATTTGATTAAAATTGAAGATAACAATACTGGAACATGCCACGAACCAAAGGGGCGTCAGACCTATCCGAATTTCAGCGAGGACGTATCGTGGGCCAACATGAAGGTGGTCTTAGTTAAAGAAAAATATCTGAAAATCTTTCAATACCCCTTTCTACTGTTAATAGACTGATCGTACAATTCACCAGAGAGGGCAAGAAGTGCACAAAACCTCATCCAGGCCGCCCTGGGCCCTCTTAAAGAACCATGCGTCTTATCGAAAGAAATGTTGAACAGGATCCACGTTGCAATGCCTCTGACATAGCAACACAAGTTGATGTCAGTCCCAGAACAGCTGTCAGGTATCTTTACAAGCTGGGCTATTATGGCAGAGCTGCGTGAAAGAAACCACTTCTCCGTCCAGCCAATATCAAACGCAGAAAGGATTGGGCTCATGAGATGGTGAAGAGACCTGTGACGTTTTAGACCACTGTCATTTTCTCTGATGAGTAAAGATTCGCATTATTTACCGACTGTGGAAGAATATGGGTATGGAGACTCTGTAGTCAAGAGTTTGATTTAAAAAGACTGCAGCCAACGGTGAAACATGGGGGCCTTTCAGTAATGGTATGGTCGCTCAGAGCTTGTGGAGTGTGAAGGAAACATTAATTCAACCAAATATGTTTCTATATTAAAGAAAGGGCTCCTTCCAATATTCTCAAGTAGTAGAATGAGCAAAATTGACTCCCTATTTATAGAAGATGGAGCTCCATGTCACACTGCTCAAGCAACGCAACATTGGTTGAGACAAAATGGGATCAATAAACTTCCATGGCCAAGTCAGTCCCCAGATATTAACCCTATTGAACACCTTTGGGGCATATTAGATTGAAAACTCCACAAAAAGAACAGGAAGCCATCTTCTAAGCCCTAACTTTTAGGATTATTGCGTCAAACATGGCAAGAAATCCCTCAAGATGATATTCATGAACTCATCGCTAGCATGCATAGAAGGGTCCTTGCATTAAAAAAAAGAAAAAAGGGATGTCAACGAAGTATTAGTTATTAAATTTATGACCATTTATAATTACTTCATTTGTATAAATTACTTGTTTAATAAAATAAATGGTTTCCGTGAGCGTCTATTCAATTCTGTCATATATATATATATATATATATATATATATATATATATATATATATATATATATGTCAAAAGGCATATTGAAGTAACCAAAGAAAAATTGAACACCCTTTATAGCAGCAAACAGGACATTTACGATAAGCTAAAGGATACAAGTACCTCGGACCAACTTGAGGAAATTACGCATAGGCGATTTTTGCTTCTAGCCTTTTATATGCACGAGTTTGTCGTTGCTTAGAAATCTTCCATATAAACAGAAACAGACTATCATCATAGTTTTGTCCGTGTATTGCTTAAGATATTGTAATGTAATTGTCATCTTTGATAATAGCTTATGTAAGCCGAAAGCTTAGATTGGATTAAAGAATATAGATCAATACTGTGATTTTCTTTCTTTGTTTAATGATAATGTTATTAAGCTTATCAGACGATATGAAAAAAATTAACAGAAAATAAATAGATAACACTTATCTATATTATTTAATGAAACATCTATCAATGAAAAAATGCTGCCTAAATACACACAATTTAAATTACATGATCCAGCAGCCCACAAAACTATCAACACTTGGAATTATAAATGTAGCCTTGTGAAAAGGCAAATTGAAATAGCCAAAGAAAAATTGAACACCCTTAACAGCAACAAACAGAACATCTACGATAAACTAAAGGATTTAACTACCCCGGACCAACTGGAGGAAATTGCGCATAGGCGATTTTCGCTTCCAGCGTCTCATATGCACGAGTTGTTGCTTGGAAATCTTACATGTAAACACAAACAGAATATCATCACTGTCTTATCCGTGTATTGCTAAATATATTGTAATGTAATTGTCATCTATCTATCTATCTATCTATCTATCTATATATATATATATATATATATATATATATATATATATATATATACATGATGCACTCTCCTGTTCTTTTCGACTTATAAGTATCTTTCAATTCAGTTTTTATGTTTATGTTTCCTATGAGACAAGCGTCCTGCACGGGATTTGCAAACAAATCCAGCGAAGGGCAATACTGATGAGTTGAACGTCATATGGGCTGATATATTATACTGAGATTTAATGTTGGTTCTTAATTCTCTCAGATTGTTGAGACGATTCTTTTCAAATTTAATTATGCTTCGGTAGCAGGTGTTTCTCCAATTTGCTCGGTTTTTAACAGTGAGTTCCTCTTCAGCGATGTTTGCAGCAATTAAATTGTATTTACGTTTGCCCTTGATACGTAACCAAGGACGAACTACGTTATGCTTGCCATGAAAAAGTTGGCAAATCCAAGTTTACAGCACCTGGTATTCCCAAGATGTCACCCATCTAGGTATTGTCTAGGCTTGATATTGCTTTACTTCGGTGATCGTACGAGGACTGGTGTTTCAACGTGACTTGGCCGTATGCCCCGACTGTCATATAGGGAGAATGATATGGCATAAGCATCCAGCACTCTTTTGTACCTAACAAAAAATTTCCTGCATCTTAATATTCTGTTTCTCTTTTGGAAGGCAATGGTCAGTATTCTATGAGGTTTTTCGGCATCAGGATCATCACTCACCTCTGATGACATGACCAGCCAATTGATTCGATACCACCGACATCACATTTGATGAAAAGATCAGGCTTAAAGATTTTGTCCTGCCGTGTATAACCGCATATTGAACGAAGACTATATATATATATATATATATATATATATATATATATATATATATATATATATATATATATATATATAAAACACGCCTGTACACTCATAGATGTATGAGTGGCGTCTCGACGACAATTTTTCCTCCCACTTCCATAAAAACACCGATATACGCAACACTATATAAATCCAAAATTTAAAAATTAATCAGTTTGTTTGACGATCGCAAATAGCGTGAAACCCAGGGTCACAAACACACATCAATGCAACTAAACATGTTAACTCGATCACTGATATTGAGCGCTTTCCAATAAGTACCGCGCATATATAATATATAAATAATATATATAAAAATTGCATATATATATATATATATATATATATATATATATATATATATATATATACACACACACACACACATATATATATATATATATATATATATATATATATATATATACACAGTGTAACCCGGATATAAGAGAGTTATCGGGACCGGATAAGAAGTCTCTTATATCCGGGTTTGGTCTATTTTATATACATTAACACAGGCTCTAATTTGGGACAATGAAAATCTCTTTCTTATATCCGGGTTTCTCTTATATCCGGGTCTCTTATATCCGGGTTACACTGTATATATATTTATCGCCTCAAGTAATTCGGAATCGGCAAATGGAGTTCGTTTTTCGTTTCCGGCTACTTTTCCCCCCTAAGCAATAATGTCTTATCTCCCAACTACACATATCTCATCGATGTCAGGTTGCAATGGATGTCGAAGCAGGAAGCTGCTAAGAGAACTCTTGGAGAATCTCTCATTACGATGTTTTCATATTTCGTAAAGAAACTAAGGAAATGTTGCATAGTTTTGAAGATGTGAGCAACACAATCTTCTCTCTCTCTCTCTCTCTCTCTACATATATATTTTTTAAATATTTTTAAGTGAAAAGCCGAACTTATCATTCACTACATATTCTTTCTTTTATATTTAACTTTTATAAAGTTCTGCATAGGGTCTCCTTTTTTTTTTATTCCAAAAAGATGTGAGCCAATTCGAACAATGAAATTAACAGGAACGGAAAGAAGCTTTCCAGGCTGTCCGGCTCCAATCGGAAATTTTTGTTGAGGCGCATATTCTAACACGTGCATTTTTACGAAGCCTTCCTTACAATGAAATTAAGAGAAAATATTTTCTGATAGCATTTGCATTTCGATGAAGCAGACTGGAAATAATCGATTCATCTGATCGGCAGAATCGATTACAGCCAACAGAGAAACAACATTTATATTAATTATGTATTGTGAAAACGTCTTCCAATTTTTCTTTCCTTTATTGTTTTTAATTTTCCCAGCCAATGCCAATCGCTTTTTCTCTCATTCACTCACATCCTCACTTACTCAAACACAAACGTACAACCATGTAGATACACCCATTCACATTGACAGATATAGAAACTTCAAAGATACACACACAACCACATACGTGTACAAAATCTTACAGATATACATTCACAGACATTGACAGATATAATCACAAAGAAAGATTCACTCACAGAGAAAAACGCAGAATGCATTCAAACATTAATTCATAGACGTACAGAAACAAATTAAAATATATTCGCACATGAATTTTGTGCTCTGAAAAATATCATACAAACACAGGACTCTCAGATAGATAATCAAGCGCGCTAATTTATATTAGCATGGGGAATATATCAGCCAAGATTTCATTTACTTCCATTACACCTTTAATGATAAGCGTTTAACGTTCATAGTATCTATCTATCTATCTATCTATCTATCTATCTATCTATCTATCCCAGTCGGCTAATTATCTATCTCAGCCTGTTAATTATCTATCTATCTATCTATCTATATATATATATATATATATATATATATATATATATATATATATATCCGTCTGCTAATTGTCTAACTCAGTCTTCTAATCTATCTATCTATCTATCTATCTATCTTAACCTGTTAATATTCTATCTATCTATCTATCTATCTATCTATCTATCTATCTATCTATCTATCTATCTTCATATGATCCGATCCCAGATAATAAAACGAGATTTTTGTACAATATCGTCAAAATACAATTTCCAGTTCAATTTGTAATATTAATAATTTGGGATCTTTGTTTACTCCCAATCGGCTGAAAACGATCCAATTTTGGGGTTTGTGCTTTTTTTACAAGAGCTTAAAGGGAAGGGATATTAACAGTGAAAAAGGAAAACAAATAAAAATATGTAATTATGGCATAAAATCTTACTAACCATGAAATGATTATATGTTTATGCGTGCAAAGAAATACGTGTTATAGAGAAATAAATTTGTTAAAAAAAACAAAAAAAAAAAAAACGTGTCATCCTCGTCGTTTCATCACGAACCAGGCATGTCAGGGATGAAAATCCTTGTTAAAACAATTCATCAATAGTCAGTATCTTTTATTTTTTATTTTTTTATTTTTATTTTTTTTACTTGCGTTGATCTATTTTAGCGATTATTTTTTTTTTTTAATTATTTTAAATTATTTTTTAAGCCAATGTTGAATTTTAAATGTTGTAGGAGTTTCCTCACGAAATTGGCATCACAATTGAATGTTGAAATCCTGAATTGAAACAATTCATTAAAAGTGAATCTTTAAACGGGTTACTTTTACTTACGTTGATGTATTTTAGCTATTAATCTAGATCCATGACTTAAATAGTAGGGTAAGTTGGACAATAGACGCCTGGATTGCAATCAGCCTTTGAGAAGAACAACAAGTTCAAAACCGGTTTAAGGGGAAGTTGTGATGTCTTTCTCCTATTTAAATTTTCCCCATTATATCTGTGGTATAATAACACCGTACTTCACTGACAGAACGGAATAGCTCTCAGGGAGAGAGTTTTAGAATGTTAAGTCGGACACAAATATATATATATATATATATATATATATATATATATATATATATATATCATCTACAGGCAGACTGTTTTCGCTGTATCACAACGCATTAGTGTGGCTCGACGTCCGGTTGCCTCTAGCTACGATCTAAATTGGCTTGAGTCTGAGATTCTACCGCTAAGCCGTTGGCGCCCGGCTGGGATGAAGGTGAATTTAAGAGTATTTATTCTTAGATAAACACACAGTGACTAAGTGAACTCGATTGGTTTTACCGAAGAGTCTTCCATTATGAGCAGTAACAATCACTGTTTACACACTTACACTTCCTCCCCCATAAACAACAGGAATTAGGATTACTCCATGACAAGAAACATCAAAATCTTGTTAACCTGACGGATTTTAAAATCATTGTAAATTAGTTTTAATTTGTAAAGTGAAATGATGATGATCAGTGTTATGGAGAAATCCTTATTCCTATTGTTTACAATTAATATGCTCTGTTTGAATAAAATATTGATCTCTCTCTCTCTCTCTCTCTCTCTCTCTCTCTCTCTCTCTCTCTCTGTGTGTGTGTGCGTGTGTGTGTGAATCAGTGTTAATATTTTATTTTATATTAATAGGCTTCACTTGGATTATATATCAACTGCTCTTCATGTGTATGTATGCGTGTGTGTATCTGTATGTGTACATATGTGTATACTAATTCCTTATAAGACAGTATATATATATATGTATATTAATTCCTTATAAGACAGTATATATATATATATATATGTATGTATATATATATATGTATATATATATATATATATATATATATATATATATATATATGAAGAAATATAGTCTTAAGGTGTGCTATATTTATGGGATAAAGTGCTCAATATCAGAGATAGAGCGTGTGTAAATATAAAAATTAAACATAGACCTCAACACTCAGAGGCGACAGTCTGTTTCATGCTAGATGCAATCGTCAGGCTCCTGAAGATTGCATCTAGCATGAAACAGACTGTCACCTCTAAGTGTTGACTTCTATGTTCACTATTATATATATATATATATATATATATATATATATATATATATATATATATGGAGAGGGAATATACGTATGCGCAGGCATGCAGGAAAAAACACAAAAAAATCGGAAATAAATCTAAGAACACACAGGAGTCATTAAAAGATAAGAATATAGATATCTTTCTCACCCTTTCTCGGACCAGTCTAAAATTGTTTTATTACTCTTCAGGCAGAACGTTTTCACTACCAGTTCAAGGAAGGCATTTGAGTCAATAGAACACAAAAAGAGAATGTCTAATATCGAGAATATTTAATATCGAAAAACATAAGAAAAATTAGTTACTTTTAATAATATCTGGAAATATCCACTCTTTGTCTGAGGAAAGTCGTGGGACCTGAAACCCATGTAGCAAAATTATGGAAAATAAAGAATAATATATATATATATATATTTTTTTAAATCTACAATACAACCAAAAACGTTTGCGTTTTCTCACTTCTTTTATTATACACGCATTTCCTCTCGTTGGAACTACTATAAACTCTTCCATATATATATATATATATATATATATATATATATATATATATATATATATATATATCGTGGGTAAAACAAATATTCATACACATACAAATTTTTAATTTGTTGTATTTCCAACTAATGAATAGCCATACATTTCATATAATTAACTCTATATAGATGCATAATCAAATATGCGCAGAAAAGAGATAAAATTTTGATTTAATAGAAATAAATCATATTTATTGATTTTAATGGGTGAAAAATGTATTCTTATAATACAAATTTCAGGTTTTGGCATTATCACTA